AATTAAAACTGGAAAATTTGTTAAATAAATTGTCACGTTATTTTATTAAGACCGAATCGATTCTTAGTATTAAAAAAAATTTATAGACTTTCTAAGAAAAATTTGATTCGAGTGACAATTTGAATCTTTCGGTCAATGTATTTTGTATTGTACAGAATAATTTTTGAATTTTATAGTGTGGCTCAGTCGAATTTTTGGCAAATAATTTCATAACAAGCTTTTAAGGTTATTTGAGAGATTTCGTATTAAATTTTGTTATTATTGTCATGCAATTTCAATTTCAAAACTTTACGACTCTTACACTAAACTATTTAAACTGGTTTTGACATTTGCAATTCTTTAAAATTTTAAATAACACTCCGACTCTTAATCTAACAATTAAAATTTTTAACTCTGAAATTTAAGCCTCAACTTTGACTCTGCCATTCCAGCAGCTTTTTGCACTGATTACAAAATTCTAAAATATTTCGATTTCGGTTTCAGCTTTCTCACTATAGAGTGTAGACACTTATTTTTCTCTTTGGATTTATAAATTTTTTACAAATGCATTCTTGTAAACCTGATGAGATTTGATGGCGCATGAACTTGGATAAAGCGGAGACCGTAGCACTACTTGTTCCAGATTTAATTTTAACGATAATCAAGACACTAACTTGGTTTTTTTTTTAAATTTTTATTTTGTTTATTGAAAAATTATTTACGTATATTTTGTATGTACATTTTTTTTGTTTCTAAAATATAAGAAATCTTAAATACTATAGACCAATTATAATATTATATAATGTAAAGCTATTCATTGTAATTTACATGAGGATGAGAAGTAGAGAGCTCAGAGAGGAAAATGTATGAAAAATTTATTTACAAAAATTTTATGAAATTTGGTTTTCTTGTTTTGTATTTTCACCTAAATTGTACAAAATGAAGAGTTGAAATTTTTTCTATATGGCGAACAAGTGACCATTCAAAACATTTGATCTCATTATACACGCATATATAAAAAAATATTTCTCTATTTCTTTTTTTTTCTCTTTTTGTTTGAAGTATTATAGTTTTAGGCATCCTTTTTATTGTACAGGTGTATAAGTTTTTATGCAATGTGTGCAAATCTTCTTTTTACCAACCTGATGACCAATCCTTATGTTCAATATGCTCTTCAATATGTTTGTGTTCATGTTCATGATGATGATGTACAGGTACTGGAACATGTTTAATTATTTCTTTATAAACTGGAACATGTTTAACGACTTCCTTATAAACTGGAACATGTTTAATAACAGGAACTTCCTTATAAATTGGTACTTTTTCAACATGATGATGATGAACAGTATGTACTTTATATGGTACATGAACTACAATATGTTCACTAGAATATACAAAAATTAATAAAATATTATTAAATATGAATTGGATTTAGTTAAATTGGAGAGCGTATGCTTAACATTACACTCTCTAGATACCAACAAGAAACATGTTTTCAAAATTGTATAGGAAATAGGGATATTGGTGTTAATTCTAGTAATAATAGTCAAATAATTGAAAACATTGAACTACATACAAATTAAAATTTTAATTTTTCGACTTAAAAATTTTTCGGAATTACGATTAAGTTTCAAGGAATGATTGTTATTGAAAGATTTAAAACAGTAGCTCATGAAAATTGTATATTAGTAATAGGAAGAATTTTTACGAAACTCACTGAAGTATATGATGGTAAAGCGAATACTTCTACAATATATTTTGCGTTTATTGTCGTAAGAATGTTGGATAAGGCAATTCTTTACTATTCAACTTAAAATATGCAAGTAGTTACTACTTGTTTTATTGATTAATTACTTGTAACAGATTTCGATTGAAATATTTATTAATGCAAAGGAATAACTAGATCTACGTGGCCTATATAAATTATACATTTCAAACCCTAATTATACTTAAACTCTTCATAAATTTCTTAAAAGAAAAAACACTTAATTGCTATCATACGCGAATGACTACTACACTTCCAAGTAATTATTAATCTATTAAACTCATTATACACATTTTTAGTAATAATTATTGAAATATTTTATTATTTTAGATCTGTTTTTATTATTTACAATTTTAATTTTTTAATTGCCTTTTAAAAAAAATTATTTTTCAGGTATTTATCAGGAAAATTTTTTTTTTTCATTTTGCTTCATGAATTTTTTAATTATAGGGAAAAAACAAAACTAAATTTTTTCATCATTAATTTCAAATATTGGAAAATTTTCGTATTTATTATCGTGAAATTGAAACAAACTTTGTGATTATTACGATCGTTTCCATAAAAATGATTATTTAAATTGAAAGGAGATTATGTACATACATAATACATGATTACTCCTTTTGATCTTAATAACATAATATTGTTGAATTTTATATTTTAACATTAGCATGATACTTGCATGCAACAATATAAAATTAACATTTAAATGTTAAAATTATAATTTTAATTTATAAGCAATAGGAATATTTTCAATAGGAAGGAAGGAATTAATGTGATTTATACTTATTTAATTATAATCATATACCTATAATATGAAAATCAATGGCGATAATTATTGTAATGCAAAGACAAAACCATAAACACAAAAGGAAATTTTATAAAACCAAACATTGGACAGAAAAACGCAATGTAAAATAGACAATAGAAATGTTAAGAAATTTTTTTTGTATTTTTAACTTTTAACCTTTAACACATAATTATTTATAATACATAATAAAAATAAATGAGAAAAAATAGAGTTGAACATGTCAACTATGTGATATCCGTTCGAATTTTTTATTCCATAGTCGTAGCTGACTTTAAGTTCCCGTATTACTATACTAATTTATACAAAATTTCTGTACTGATATTTCAATATCAGTATTCAAAATTTCTGACACAAGGAGTCAAAAAATTTTAATGATTTTTATTACTTTTAACAGCCCTAATATCATAATATATTTGCTTATACAAAATTTCGATATTATAACTTCAACAATTTCTAAGATAAGACTAAATAACTTCTGCAGTTGTATGAAAACTACCAGAAGGAGTCAAGCAATTTCAACGACTTTTCACAAGCACAGTAGCTCTAATAATATGTCCGAAATTCCAATACCATAGCTTTTATAATTTCTGAGATATAGTGAAATAAATTTTGAATTTGTATGGTAGGTACATGAACCAATACCTTGACCATATCCAATTTAAATAAGGTAGTGGTGTTTATTATAATAAATCATTTGTGAAAATTTGGTGATCTTATTTTAATTAGTTTTTGAGTTATCTGTGTGCCGAACGGACAGATGAATGAACAGACGGACAGACATGAATAAATCGACTCCGAATTTGACGCTGATTGAAAAAATACACTTGAGTCTATATCTCAGACCATTATTTCTTAGCGTTACAAACGGCAAGGCAAATTTAGTACACTCTTCGAACATACCTTCATACGGGGTATAAATACATATATCAAGTATTTTTTATTAACATTTTTACAATTTTTTTACTCATTTTTTATTCAGTGTAGATAAAGGCACGGGTATATGACAAACTATTGAAATTTGCTATAATAAAATTAAAATGAAATCTTATAAGTGAATAAAAAAATTATAATAATCGCGTTTGTTATTCATAATTAAATCGGTTTTATAGTCTTTATTAATAAATTCATTTAAATGCATAAAATTTAGAGTTATATCACGAAATTGTTACCATTTTTCTTTTTGAATTCACTGCAATGTTTTCTTTCTTTTATTAAAATGCGGCAATGTTTCCGACTATTGTACACACACCTTTGATTTGAAAATTTTTCAAAAGAAAATTTCATTTTTTTTTGTTTTATGATTTTTGTTATTACTTTTATTTGCATTTTAGAAATGACACTGTAAGTATGTTATGTAGCTCTATGTACGCCTTTAATTTTATTATATAATTCTAGAAATTATATAATATTTTTGGAAGGCAAGAGTGTTATTGAAGGTGCAAACTACGAATTTTGAAATTTTGAAAATAATTTTTAATATAAAATTTTTTCGTCCATGCGATGACTTATATTAAATCCCAGAATTCGAAAGCATTACAAAATTCAACATATTCGTAAGTTATTTGTAATGTCTTCCATAGGTCTACCTAACATTTCCTTGCATATGAAAGGTAAAAGTTTATGTATGAGAATTATTAAAAAAATGCATACCTTGTATTAAACACGGATTTGAAGTTTTTATAGTTCCATTTTAAAATTTAAAATAACACTTTAATTGACTCACGTTTTTTATTAGTAAAAATTCATATTATATTTGAGCTATAAAAACATGTTCATATTTAGGCCCTATTATGCTACTAATATTAGCGCCTTTTTAGGCCTATTAACCCGGCTTTCGAATAATGCAATCAGCACATGTTTCATATGTGAGACCTATTACCTTTATATGAAACAAGAGAAACTGCCTGTGATGAAAAAATTCGCGTTTTAGTGTGCCGAATCAGGTAAAAACGTAATGATACAACAGAGAACCAAATACAATTCACACTTTTGTAAATACCTCTAAAACTTAAACTCATTCTACTAATTCATTTGTTAGATTACGGTCCTTCGAAATGTATATAAAACCAACGTATGTTTATAAGTCTTTTACTTAAGTTAGTCCTAAATAAAAAAGCTTTTTAGTATAATCTTTGTGTATAATATTTACTTACTGTTTCTTGTGAAAGCCAGGAGCCGCTTGAACAAAAGCAACAACACAAAGACAGATCTATTAATAAAAATAAAAAAAAATAACATATTTTAAGTAATTTAAGCATTAAATGTCAATTAATATTAAAATTTAAAATTAATTTAAAAAATTTTTTATTGTCAATTTTTAATTGAAATCTAATGAAAAAATATTGAAAAAAAAAATTGAATAAATTTTCATTTAAAATTTAATTTTAAAAATTTCATTATTACTATAGAGATTTAAATTTATATAATCCCAACGAATATTGTTTCCCAATGGCTCAAGAAGCTGAAGATATATTAAGATTAATTCAAGGATCAAAAGGAGTTCTTGGTTCATTAATTGTAAATAATGAAGGTATTCCAATTAAAACAAATTTGAATAATGCATTAAGTGTTCAATATGCTGGTTTAATGCAAAATTTAGTTGAAAAAACAAGATTAATTGTTAAAGAATTAGATCCATCAAATGAATTAAGCAGTTTTCGTATAAGAACAGCAAAACATGAAATAATTGTAACACCAGATCGTGATTACATTTTTATAACAATACAGGAATCAACAGATTAATCATAAATATCCTGCATTTTTTTCCTTTTTCAAAATATTACAAAATGTAAGTATTAAGAAAATTATAAATAATATTCGAAATATCCTTGAGTCTTAAAATCTTATTTAGACCTTCATAAGTTTTCAAATTAAATTTAAAAAATTTTTCACAGCATTTTAGAACTCAAGGCGTATTATGCGTAGCAATCGTAGAATCACAATATTTTTAATCCATTCAGTGAGAAAAATTAAATCCTTGAAAAATTTCTGGGAATTTTGAAAATTCAAAATTTTTTTCTTGTAATCACTTTGACATTATCCTGTTCATTTCATTCAATTTTTGCATACTTTTAATTTATAAAAATAATTCACATTTTTTCAACTAAAGCATATTGCGTTCACAGAATTCTTATTTAATATAGAAAAATTGTTCTTTTACAACAAAATTTATTAAATTTATAAAATTTTTTTATTATCACAAAATTCCATTTTTATTAAAAGTGTTTTTTGAATCCTTTAATTCACAATTTATTGAAATCCTTTTTTTTACCATTTATTTAAACTTAAACACTTACAAGAACTTTAAGGGTGGCCATATTATTGATTTAAAAAAGATTGATTTTAAGAAAAAAAAATCTAAAGTAGAGAAAAAAATTCAAGTGTTTTTTTTTTTGCACTTCTTCTTATCGCGGCAAAACCGTTAATGATATTTTACCAAACTGAACCAATGCTTTTATATACAAAATAAAATAAATTTGCCGAATAAAAGTAGGTTTTTTGAATTTAAAATAAAAATAATAATTGGTAGCTAATAATAAATGTAAGCGGTGAACCAAAATAATATTTTTTTTTTATTACAACAGTTTAAGTTGGTTAATAAAGTGGTAGAAAAAGAAGAAAATGAAACCAAAAACAAGAAAAAGGTAGAAAATCATAAAATAATATGAAAATGAACGCGAAATATAAGAAAAGGAAAACATATATACAAAATATAACCTTCGTTCCCCAATCCAATGACTTCATAAAGTTGGTAACATATAAACGTATAAAGGAAAAAAAAATGTAATTACCCCTAAATTTGTGGCAAAACACATGTTTACTGTCATAGCATTATTGATATATGAAAATCGAAAGGAAAATTTTTCACTCTCATATAATAAATCATATTATTATTGTGCATGTCATAAAATGTGATAGTATGGAGTCAGTATAGTGGAGACTCGAATCCGTACAGCTATATTGTGTAATTTGATCGTGTGCTTGTATAGTGAGAGAAAATTATATCGTGTTCAATTTGATATTATTCAACATGCATGACACACACTGTGTAGGCCTGCAATAATGAATTATTCATATAATTTAATGTGTGGTACTGTCGTGACAGTAAACAAAATTAAAATAATCTTTTTTTTTTCTTGTTTATTTAATTATTTCGGTTTGTTATTTTTTTTTAATTATTTTTAATGTTTTTTAATCATTTTAATCACATTATGAGTGCAATCGTTTATGTTTGTTGTTATTTTTTTATGTATAGTTTGTATTTTTGGCAATAAATTTTTTCTTTTTTTTTGGCTCCTTAGTATTTTTGTTTGTTTTGTTTTTGGAAAACGTTTGTTATTTTGTTACATACTTTTATTGTATAAAAATATTATTGTTTTATAACTGTATTTTATGACAGATTTAGCTCAAAATTCAAAAATCATGATATGGATAATAAAATAATATTGTTGGTTAGATATTCAGGAACTGAATTATTTTCAAACTTACTTTGTAAGTTTGATTAAAAAATTTCACTGGCCTAACATTGCAAAATAGATCATTTATGTCATAAGCAATGCTATATAATTAGCTAATCATTATTTTAGTTTTTTTTTTTTCAAATTACCAAAAAACAATAAAATTATTTGAATTTCCATTTAATATAACAGTTATTACGAATGAGTGTAAATGAATATGTAAAATATTCATGTGATTTTGGAATTTAATTTAGATTCGCATATGAGTGAGTTTTAATCATTTTCTTTATTGTGCATAAAATGGAATATCAATATTCTGGTTGCATTTATGACTATAGGAACGTGACTAATTTCTTATTCAATGAGAGATGGCATAAAGTTGAGTGAAATAAAATGATAAATTTGCAAAACAATAATTTAAACTTAATATTTGATTGAATGAACGAAATTTTGTCCCTCATCTAGCAGATAATTTTAACGTTCATTTTCTAAAATTCGAAATTAAATATCTACTGAATTCATTTTACTCAAAAATAATATTTTGTTGTTATGCTCTTTTGTCAGATAATGGACGATCCAGTTCAAAAAATTAAATTATCTCTAAAAATCTCTCATAAACTCATAAAATATTTTCTTACAAAAATTCAAAGTATTACCCTATTCAGAGTATAGGAGAATAACACATTATACTCTTCGATTAACGTTATAATTTACATTACAAGCTGTTATCATTTGACACTAAACTTGTTTTATCTGACATTTTGTTTATCTAAATATTTTGAAAAAATATTTTTGTATTTTGAATATAAAATTATTTACTACAAATTATTATAGCTTGAAATATTTTTTTAAAATTTTTTGAAATTTCTTTCAAAATTTCCTGTGATTTGAGGATTCCAATAATAATATTCGCGAATAGTTCGTTGTAGTGTGAATAGGGTATAAGATCAAACGATCCAATAGAAAATAATGTTAATTTATAAATAAAAATAAATTATAATATTCAAAGTTTATTAAGGATTTAAAAAATATTTTATAGTTTTTTCATACAAAAATTTTGTGAATTGAAATGAAACAATGTAGGAAATTCAATTTTTAAACAAAACCATGTCAATGTACCGTCGGTCCAATGTTGATGTGATCTATATGTCATTTTGGGATTTTAGGAGTTACCTACACGTTCCTAGGTTTTGGGAGACACCCTTTCATAATATGTAACCAGTTTTTCCCTATTAATTTTAGTTTCTGAATTATAGAATTTCAACTTTGATCCATATCCGTAATTTTTACTAAATTAAAATGCATTCTGGTCCATATCCAAAACCGATGGTGTATAGATCAAAGTGCCTAACATTTTTCCGAAAAAAATTTCTAATCCATATTCATGGCCCTAATAAGTAGACCTAATTTAGAAAAATAATATCTTAATTGATCCACTTGCATATAATTTTGAGTAGCAACATAATTATTTATGTTCAAATTTACATTATGTACGTGCCCCCTGAAATATTAAAATTTGCTTAATCGTGCGTGGAAGTGTTAGATGTGTTTGCAAACAAAATCTTTAAATTTTTTCATTAAATTTTCCTGATGAACAAAAATGTTCAATTGAAGATAAACAGCAAAATACATTAAATGCCTACAAAATTTTTTGTAAAATTTAAATTTTCTAAACTTCAATATTTTAAATATGTCAACATCTCTAATTTGAAGTGTGCCTGATGCAATTTTAAAGTAAGTACTTAAAAATAAATTTCTTAAACCTTATTATCTTTGGCAAGCTTTTTAAATAATAATTATATTTCGAAATTTTGGAATGCAAGTTGAGGCTTTTGACATTGGCTCAAGTTTTTAATTTGGTAATATAATATTCTAATTTTCTAATTTGGTAAATGATTCTAATTTTACGTGATCCTAAAATTTTTTTAGAGGCTTTATAACCATCTTCATCTGGTTCGGTTTTTGATAAATATGTTTAGTGATAAGCTGAAATTAAATATTATACAATTGAAGGTAAGTGAGGAAAACTAGATTAAATAGGATATCACTTTAAAAGAACATTCTCCTTTAGCAGGTATCGTTGTTCTTGCTATACTGTTATTCCAATATTAAAATTCAATTTAAGTGATCACAATAAGGTTAAATATTAATTTTTGCATTGAGTTTAAAAAAATCTTGTTTTTTTTTAGTTATTTTCAAAGTAGGAAGTATGTCAGTTATAATTTGTACAATGGACATTCAAGGACATTTTTAAAAATTAATTTTTGAATGTAATTTATAATAAATTAAAAAAAAAAATATAAAATTTTCTAAATATCACACACAAAGTTATAGGTTTCAGTTCTATGAGAAATACTCCACACAAAAATAAAATTCCAAATTAGTTTCTAAAATATTACGAAATATTCATTGCAATATGAGACATGATGTTGCATTTCCATTAATTAAAGTTAACCATCAGTAACATAAGCATGTTGCATGGTTCTGTTTTTTATTCTTTTTTAATTTTCTAAATTGGATCCGGAAATTATCGTGTTATGGTGTATTATAAATTTTTTTTGTTTAGACATTGGTTTTTAATATACAAAAAGGCCAATCATTATAATATTCTTGAAATTTTGCTATTTAAAATTATCTAGTACCTAGAGTTAATAATTTTATTAATTTTATTAAATCACAATATTCTGTGGTTTTATGGTTTTTATGTTCAAAAGTAATTTATTCTCGTCAATTATGCAGAACTAAAATCAGAGATTGTGTGTACATACATTATAAAATTCATATAGATTTTAATTAATTTGTATAAGAAAAAAAATTTTTATTACAAAACAATATAGTCAAAGTATGGAAAAATAAAGAACAAACAGCGCGTTAATAAATGATTACCAAAAAGTTGCAAAAGATTTCTAATATATCAAAACCAAAATCTAATTAAGTATAAGTATTACGTTACTTGAAATTGTATTTATTACACTATACTGTCAACAATTTTTTTGCATCATGAAGCATGCAATTAAATTGAGAACATTATGAGAAAAAAAACCAAACCGAATTCAATGCACAATTTGGAAGCTAGAAATCAAATTATGCACTATAAATGCAATGCTAGACAATATTAATTTATAAAAATAAAGGCAATGTACAAATATTATAATATATGTGCACATGTTTATTATATATGTATGTACTTATATGTTTTTAATGTGCACAATAAATTTGTACATTCACCTCTGCAAATCGGGGTTAATAATCTTTCAATTTATTTTGTTTTTTTTTCGCGGTGTT